GGAGGGGAGGAGGGAAAAAAGGCAGAAACACAGAAGGGCAGCTGCAGCCCTAACGGACCAAACTTCAGTCAAACAAGACCCAACACTTTTATTCCTGATTTAAAGTAGTGATCTTGAGAGCAGCTGCAGCTGAATGCTTTTATTTTTTTCTGTCAGGCTGTAGCGGAGCACTCCACTCCTCTGTCCTTTGGACAGCTCAGCCGAGGCTGTCGTCCTGGCCACACCTCCGCTCTCTAACCCCTCCTCCCCTACCCACACCCCTCCCCTACCCACTTTGATGCATTTTTCAAATTTCGCCTTGGGGCGGAGTTATCTTTTCACAGGGGGGTAAGATACACTTTAAAGGTGGCCCGACAGCGCCACCTAACGTGAGATAGAGGAACTGGTAAGTCCTGGAGAGCTGAAATTTGGGGCATTGGTAGAACTCCCCAAATCAAGAAAAAAAAAAGTCTCTTGGAACTTTGAATCCCCCGTGTCTTGACAGCATACTGACCAAGTTTGAAGTCAATAGGTCAAAATCCCTAGGAAGAGTTTGCAAAAATTCGACGTGAGCGAAAGTGAAACTTAAGGAAAATTTGACCTTTGACCCAAGATGGCCGACTTCCTGTGGGTTAGTCCCATGGCTGTTGGTGCACTGATAATCTGGGATGCTGGAGTTCAAACCCCAGATTAGGAGAGAGAAACACGTTCATCACACATGAAGGTTGAGGTCCAATATACCTGTAAGTACTTGTACTGAGCTTGTCTTATTAGGCCAACTTTCAGAGCAAGAAAATTATATTTAAAATTTTCAGTAAACCTTAATTTTGTTGTGGAAAGAGCAACAGAGCATCAAATTTAACTGTCATTTTCTGTGTTTTTTTTCCCTAATTTTAAAGTCAAATAATTGGATTTTTGTTATATTCCCTTTTTATACTGTATTTGATGGATTGTGATACAATTTATTTTAAGATGTACTTAATAAAGAAGTTGATGATAGAAAGTAAGACAAAAGAAAGGAATGCTTATGATGTCTTCTAAACAATATAATAAATATATTTCAATTCAATTCAAAAATACTTTATTGATCCCAAAGGGAAATTAGATAATCCAAGTAATATTTGTTCTTTGCACATTATGTATGTTCTAAATGYTACATAAAACATTACTTTGAAAATGTAAATTGTATTTCTATAAGAAAAATTTGTTCTATAGCAATTTCCAATGAATACTGGCAGAGACTGGCTCTTAACTTGGACCAAGTTTTGAATTTTGGTCCCCTTATGGAGATGAGTTTGACACCCCTGTTCTAAAGTGACAGATTATGCAAATTATTAGCTATTTATTTGTTGAATTTGTTGCATTAAAAAAAAACTTCCTAATTTGTCTTGACATAGAGTTTTGAAAATCCGACCACATCCAAAGATCCGGTGCCCCGGCACAAACAGAGCAATATTGTATATGCTGTGAAGTGCCAGGAGGACTGCGACCAGTTATACATCGGGGAAACAAAGCAACCACTGTTCAAAAGAATGTCCCAACACAGACGAGCTACATCTAATGGCCAGAAYTCTGCAGTTTTCACTCATTTACAGGCCAGCGGTCACTCTTTCAGAGATGAGGATGTTCTCATTCTTGATAGAGAGGAACGTTGGTTTGAGAGAGGAGTAAAAGAAGCCATTTTTGTAAAGAAAGACCGTCCATCATTAAACAGAGGTGGGGGCCTCCGTTTTCAGCTGTCCCCCTCCTACAGCGCTGTCATTGGCAGTATCACTCCACCCTCTGTTAACAATAGGTATTAATTAGGGTGAACGATTGCCATGTGATGTGAGTATCAGTCACCTGTGAACCATAGCCATGTGATGTGAGTATCAGTCACCTGTAGGCAGGACTTAAAAGCCTGAATTTTGCCTGAAACTCTCAGACTGAAGAAGTCTCTTGGAGGAGAGACGAAACGTTTCATTAAAGAAGAACYCGTCCAGAAGACCTATACAATTTTTTTCCTTTTGATCCGACCACATCAATTCAAACACTTAAAACTAATAAAAGTCATATATTTGGGATTTCATAACTTTAGAAATGACTTGGTTTGATTCTTAGTAACCCAGTTCTGCTTGTTTGACAACAAGAGCATAAATTTATTTGGYGTTTCAGATAGTGATCAAAATTACACTTAGTTCTTGAACTGCAGATTCAAGAAAAGAAAGCCTTCAAACAAGCACAAAAACAATTCCAAAAGACAATGCGAAAGCAAATAAAASACCTTTTTGGGACTCATGGTTCACATGAAGGAAGACAAATAATTAACTCTACATAAAAGCTAAAGATGGATCAGCACCTCCTCTTTGACTCACTCTGAACCTGAACTTGTCAAAACCCCRCACCAGAGAGCAACAAATATCTTCACTAAGACAAAAAAAAAATTAAATTAAAGAAGAAAATTGGCACATGCACATGAAAAAAAAAATCGTATACACTTTGGATGCTCAAACTGGACTTCTGCCAACTCAGCAAATAAATTTAGCCAAATTTATTTCGCATCACAGAAAAGCAACAAAGTACAGACACAAAGMTGTTTTCATTATCTGACTGAGTCTGACAAACGGACAAAAGGAATTTCTTCAGACACCGTATTTCAAATCCAATTCTCTCAGCCAAACACTGGCTCATTTGAAAGCGTGTTACAGGGAAAGGAGAGAGCAGATATTGCTCCATGGAGCTTTTTATTATGGATGGATCCAGGTTGTCTGTCTTTAAAAGAGATGTGATTACAGCACACAGGAAGCGCCAGTGAGTGAGTTTATTTAATAAAAAAACAGGTTTTGAACGGTTCAGTGAAGATGAGATCAAGTCAGGTGGTTGATCTATTTGTTTATTAAGGACATAGATAGTTTATCGGAGCAAATGTGTGGATTTAAAAATGAAATTATTTAAGTGTTTACAACCGATTTAAATTAAAAAAAAAAGATAAAACCGGTCTATTTTTTCTTTTCTTTTTTCTTTTTTTTTTTTTTTTTACAAAATGCATTAAGAATGCTTTTTTGTGTGCTCAAGTGTTTTGGTAAGTGTCATACATTATTATGCTAAAAAAAAAGGTTTACCAAAAGCATTAAAATGCATTTTGAATGTTGAGAATTGGTGAGTGTACAATAACATTTAAATTACTAACACAGATTTCTTTTGATTTTACAGTTTTGTTTTAATGTATTCAGTCCAGTCTGTCTTCTTGAGCTTTAACAAGTGCACCAAAATGTGGCTGAACGTCTGAGGCAGGGCCGGTCCTAGAAAATGTGGAGCCCTAAGTGAGATTTCAGTTGGCGCACATTGTGCACTTTCCTAAATCTCACTGCCAATTTACATCCATTCACATACCAAATTAAAATGTTTCATCTTTGATGTTAGTTTTTTTTATCTTCAGAAAGTTGGTTGCAATTAAAATAGTTRACAATATAATTCMTTTGACACAGAACACCAGATGTCTGCCTCCAACCTGCCAACATCTTCAGATGGGGAACAACATGAGAAACAATACAGCAATGAGGAACACCTGTTCATGTAAAAAAAAAAAAGAAGAAGAAGAAGAAGAAGAAGAAGAAGGAAGGCGCCCTGCCTATACCATGGGCCAGCCCTGGTCTGAGGTGAGAGGTGATCGTTAGAGGATCTGCATCTTGATTTGTTGAACTCTGAAAATGTCTGTTCACATATGTATCCAAATAAGGCTGATCTAAGAGCTGCTTCGATAAAAAACAAAACAAAAACATGACATCCATCCAGGGTGGGCTGGATGGATTTTTGGCCCACAGTCCACCATCTGTCCATCCCTGGTCTGGGCGGTACCCTGTGTGTGTCAGCAGGCGTTCTACAGACTGTCTCGCTCACTTTCTGGAGTCCAAGTTCAGTCAACTAACTTACAGTTTTAACCACTCAACCATATGTCTCTTTATGTGTTTTTAGTTCTTCGTAGTTCAATCAATCAGTCAGTCAATGATACTTTATTGATCCCAGGGGGAAATTACAGCCAAACAGTTAAACCTAAATACAACTCCATTCCAACTAGAGAACAACTGCACCACAGGGTGTCACTGTTGCACTGTCCTCCTCAATTCTCCCTCTATTCTGAGATCCCTCTAGAGTGGTAACTTGTGATTATTTCTTGCTGCTGGATATTTGTCATAGCACCACTGAAAAACAGTTTAGTCTAAAACAACTTAGATTACAGAAACTTCAAGTTATAAGACAGATATTTCATTCTTTTAATAACACTTTGCATTTATGCTGATGGGGTTTGGAACAGATCATTTTCTCTGAATTGTAATTTTTTTTGATGCACTTGGAAAGTGTTTCCAACATTTACAACTGGGATATGATCAAACGTTCGTAGCATTTAACGTCCCAGTGTAAAATCGGTGATGATGTCCTTCTGCAGAGGYGACAATGAAAGACCGAGAACCGCAGGTTGTTTGGTCCTCGTTAATCTGAGCAGCCCATCAGTCRTGCAGCGCCACCGTAGAGACTCCTGCCCTTGGTGAGAAACACTCAGCTTCCTGTGTTTGTGTGAAGTTTCCTACTCATGAAGTACTTCAGCACCTCATTGTGAGGCTCCGTGCACATGACTCTGCGATTACTTTCATGATTAAAGGCAACCGTGCTCGTGGAGGAGAAGAAGAAGAAACACAATACAGTAGGCCCTTAATGGACGCAGAACGACTTCAGCCCGAGGAGGGGCTCTGGAAGAAAAATGTGCTGGAGGTGAGAGGACAGAGCTTGGAAGGAAGAGGGCAAAGAGCAAAGACAACAATGGGGGAAATAAAACGTTGTCACCTAGAAATTTATTGTTTTATCCAAAAAATCGTGGAATTTAATGTCCAATTAGTATCTGTGGAAATCCCACGGCTGGGAAAGGTTTCACCTCTCTGTTTTCTTTTCGAACAATATTTTTGAGACATTGCAGAATGAAGCAATTAAAATGCCTGCCAAGCTATTTCAGGGGTGCCAGAGTTGTTGTTGGCCTCAGGTGTCCCCTGCATGGACACAATGTTGCAAACATGACAGACACACACAAAAGAAGGAGCCGTAAGACTTAATCTCATCAACTAATATCGTTTATTTTGTGGATTTTTTGACAGATTTCCCCCCCTCATTCCTCTTGGAGTATAATCTGTCAACGTTAGCAGCTGTGATCAGATTAGGTGTGTGGCGATGAAGGATTTAGATAAGAGCAAGTGTGTGAGGTCAGCACTGATCTCTCCAACAGGGGCAGTCCGTCTCTTAATGGGACCGGGGGTCTTATCAGGGGAATCTAAAGAGCTCCCTGAAGTTCACCTCGATTTAACCGCAATCTTTGGGTTGACACATATATAACTCAGGGATGTGCTCAGGAGCGAGGGTCATTCGCTTTTACAAGAGTGAGAGCGTACAGTTTAACACGCAGACAAGTCAAAATATATTTCATTTGTAGATAATAATTAGGACATTTTGAAAAACCTTTTTGCATTTCAATAAACAATTCAAGCTTTTGCTTTTGTTGGTAGAAAAAAATTGCAAAGTGCTTTAATACCACTAAAGGTACCATGACCTAGCTTGTTAACAATTTATAAAGCAGGAAATGAGTGAATACAGCTACAAAGAAAATGTGTGATCCTCACCATAACAGTAGAAAATCAAGCTTCTAATTTTACTCAAAACCTCAAATAAACAGCCCAGATTTTGAGGATCTCAAACCAGTAWTTATTCTTAGACAGAATCAGATTTATTTTGTCGTTCATCATTTTTGAGACACAGAGGAACAATATGAATATTTTACAGCAGATCTGCTTCAGCGTCTTCCTGCAGCCTGAGTAAATAAAGGTACAGTGCACATTTGAACTGTGAATCAAATCATAACTCAGTACACAAATCACAGCACAGCCACAACATGGATAACGTCACCCACCATGAACACATTGTACTTCTTTAAAATAGTACAGGAAGTTCTTTAGATAAGTGGGGCTGGTATACATGTGCATTCCAAAAGTAGGTTCTGTTTCATGACAAAAAATAAATAAAACACCACATGGTTTTATAATGATGTAAATACAAAGAACTTACTGTGGTAGTTTTTATTTGACGAATTGTAACAGAATCTAAAAAAGCCTCTTTTGAAATCATGAAGAAGCGAGACCACCTTTACAAACGTGACAACACAATTTAAAAAAAACTCACTTTGTGTGTAGGAGATTTGGACACAGAATGCACATGTACACAAGGAGCTTGAAAGGACAACTTAAAATACTTTATCAGTGAAACAAGCAAACAACAACAAAAGCTGACGTGGTGGAAAACTTCCACAAACTTGAGGAACACAGGAAGAAACATCACAGGGCACAAACAGGAAACTGGACTGTGGCATAAAATCAATAAAGTTTTGCTCAGGTGGAGATGGAAAAAGACTAAATACATAGACTTGGGGTGATGAGGAAACTGGAGACACCTGAGCAGAATGGAGCTGACAAACAGGTGAGAGTGGACAAAGCAGGCTGGCTGAGCAGCTGATCAAAGGGAGAGTGAATGATGACCCAAAGGGACAGAACAGAAAGAATGAAAACACAAGTGAATCGTCACACACAAGACTCGCAAAACATAAATTTAAAGCAGTTTTAGGACCAGAAAATTTTATTTCATAAGACCTGAGACATAAAAGCTAATAACTCAGTAGGGATTTTAAAATTGAAACACATTTTCAATGGATATATATGAAAAAAATTACATTGATAATCAAGACTATGTGGTCACCAACATCGTGCCTTAATTGAAACAAGTAAAACTTGCACTAAACCTTTAAAGTGCCTGCGACATGCATAGCTTCAAATACAAAAAGTCAAAGAAAATATCTTTATATCTAAGAAACTTGGCATAATACACAGGATTTTATACATTTTGTCACATAAAGCATATATTGTCTACTGATATTGGCTCAGCCAAAGGGRAACAGGAAGTGACATCAAAGGGGAACTCCTTGATAAAATAAACTCTTTGGTTTATTGAAATAATATTATTTGAACTGAGACTCTTCTTCATGTCTCTTGATAGTGACTCAAAATAATCTGAAGAAATATCAGATTCTTCTCCATCAGTGTCGTTAGCCATTGTAACGATGCTCTGTGCACATGCAGACATTCCCTTTTGACATCACTTCCTGTTACTTTACTTGTGACTTTCTCAACAAGTGTTCATCTCAGTGTCTGGATTTTTTTTTTTTTGCTATATGTTATTATTGTTATTTAAAAAAATGCATTTATATTTATTACAAAAAATGGATATCAGTTTAAATGTCAACCAATTTCCTTATGTTTTTGCTAAGTACATTTAATTATTTGATGTAACACCTGCATGTTAGACGGTTGCTTTTATTTATATCCTGATTTTAAGACCCATTTTTCTGTAGTTTGTTTGGTTTGGTTTTTTGATGTCAGGCAGGGAGGTTAAGGAGCGGTGGAGGATGTGCTTGATGTATGGAGACATGGAAGAATATGCAGTCGCATCAGGATGCAGGATTGATTACTTTGTTAAGGATCACAGAAAGAAAAAAAAAGCCCACCCATGTGCCACAGCTCCCCCAGAAATCAAATGTCYCGCATTATGATGATGTATGGAGACGCCTGGGCAGCACTTTCCACTGACTCTGGCCAAGTCCATCAAAGGATTTATCTCTTCATAAGATTAAAGGAGGCCAAGGCCTCTGCCAAACAAAGGCAGGCTCCGAGGGTCAACACAAGTCCTGAACTGAAAGATTTAAACTGATCCAAACGTCGGATGGTAGTCAGGCCCAAACCAAGACCTGAACAGCCTCACTTAACATTTGGCTTGTCAGTCATGACTGATAAATGAGGATATTCATAATCATAGCTGCAATGAATATCATATAACCCTATAAACATCTTAGTATATCATTTTTGTTCAACATTGGGGTGGGCAGCGTTGTTCAAAAACACAGACATATTCCTGGCATCTTCCAGGATTCCACAGTAATGATGAAATCGCTTTTTGGGAACATTAAGGTCAGTTATTTTTTCCTGTTTTCCTTGTAAATTGTAAGCAGGGATCTACAGTTAATCATGTACATGAAAGCCTGAACCTTTTCTCTTTTCTTTCCTTTCTTTTTTTTTTCCACAAAGTCATTTCACATCCAGAGACTTGTTCCTGTTTCTCTGACCTCTGCACTCCTTCCTATTAGTCACTTTGTAAAGTTTTTGGTCAAGGAATGCGGGCTGGTTTCACTGTTGCACGTTCTGCAGGACGCTGTGGGTAATTTGCCAGCTGAAAGGCAAAAACAAACTCGAACGAGTTGTCAAACGGCGCAAAATTATCAACGTTAATATTTTGAGCATGAGTCTCATTTTAAATGGTCATCCTCATTTTCCTCACATYCACCAGATTTTCCTACGAAAACTGTTTTTATTTAACTCAAGAATTTCCTATTTTTTGTTTTTCTTTTCAAGAGTTTAGTTTCTTTAAAAGTATTAGCCAGTGTTTGCGCTAACGTGCTTTTGCCTTTTTTTGGTTCTGTCTCACAAGAAAAACACTCGTTTATATTCATTTGGATTGGAGTGGGTGAGAGACAAAGTGGTGGCGAGATACAATCAGGCGCTGGAACTGGAGATGGCGCGGCCTCTTGCACGGGAACGTGCGGGTTTTAAACGAGCTAAGACCCGAACTTGGGCAAGAGGGCCTTAAATCAGGGTAAAAAACCTTCTCAGGAATGTAGCTTCACATACCTTGCAGTTCATTTCACATGGGAATATTTGTCTGACTTGTAAAATCTGTGCTAGAGAGTGTCTGGTGATGCTAATGGAGGAGTGAGATGAAGGAGAAAAATGACTTTTATTTGAATTCTTCTCTTCTAAAGCAGTGAATCTACGAGAAGCGAAAAGCAGAGAAGAAACGTGACCCCTGCTGACTTCTTTACACCTCATCATTATCAGACTGATTATGTTGTTTTGTTTGGCAGCACGTGAGCTATTGTTTAACACATAAACAGCAGCGAGCCTGGCGACAAAGTGCAATTACGTTTTATTGCAATACTTCAAGAAGAATTAAAGGCCTGGCTGTCCTTAAAGGAATGCATTTTACCTGCTAACCACAACTGCTTTATGTTGCGAACTGACAGAGGAATAATTATTTTTGCTTTTATTACTTGAAGTTTGTGTTGTGAATGAGTGTCGCACCAAATTTAAGCTGTATAATTCACTGAGATGCAGCTATTTTTTGCRTAAAGTTGATTATCTGAAGCAGCCATCTTGAATTTTATCAACTTCAAAAGTTAATCATTAGGTGCACACCTAATTATTATATTACAAGAGTTTTGTTGAAATCCGTCCAGTTGTTATGGAGATATTTTGCTAACACGAACACAAACACAACGCATTGAAATTTCAAAGCAAAGACATTGCAAAAAATGTACGATGGGCAACAAGCAGGTTTTTTTCTGAACTTGAAATGCATCCAAGTAACTTACATCACAGTCCTTATTTTCAAGCTGTGTGTAGGTGTGTGTGTGTGTGTGTGTGTGTGTGTGTGTGTG